TCCCTCCCTGCCCTTGTCCCAAGCCCCTCCCCAGCTTTCCTGGAGCCCCTTCAGGCCCTGGAAGGTGCTCTAAGGTCTCCCTGGAGCCTTCTCTTCTCCAGGCTGAACACCCCAACTCTCCCAGCCTGTATAATAAAACTGTAATTAAACTGTCTTTGCTGTCCTGGGAGCCAGTTTGATGTAAGAGGTGAACTGAGAGGCTTCAACCAGCACAGTTTATTTCTGTGGTGTTGCTGCAGTGTGGTTACAAGTGCTGGCTGGCAAGGAGCTGTGTCTGAGTGGCATTTCTCAGTGATCAGCACGTGGCAGGTAACACAGGGATGAACATAAAGTGATGCTGGTTTGGGTATGGTACAGGAAGCTTGAATGCCAAGTTTTCTTTGCTGGTGGAACAGCAGGGTATAGCAGAGATTAAAATCGATGGCTCTCAGTAATCATCAGGTACAGGTGTGGGAAATGCCCAAGCATCACAGGAAACAGCTACAAAATAAAAGGGAGATGTTTGAGGTTAAGAGGAAAGGGAAGTATTTGAGGTTAAGGAAGAGCAGTCTTCAATCATCTGGTTTACTTCTGCAGCCTTTGGAGCTCGTTACTGCATAATTCTTCTCTCAGACTTACTTCCTTTGGCTTATGACAGGCAGGAAAGTAATTTTGTTCTGAGTAAGACAAAAATCCCCTTTAAGCATTTTTGTTATCTCATACAGCTCATAAAGAGCAAAGGGGGAGCAGCTGCTTCCGATGAAGAATATACTCTCTGGAGGGGATGGATGGAGGACAAATGTGAAAGTTCAGTGTGAGTGTTACTGGGAATCCTGAATTAAATCCATATAGCATTAAAAATGGAACACAACATGCTGATCAGGCTTTGCCTTCTTGAATGCTGTAGGAGACGTTAGTTGTGAATGGAAGTGAGCAGCACCTGAAATGTCTGGAGGTCTTTTTAGATTAGTATTAGTTGCTTCCACTACTGGGAGGCAGGAGTGTTTTTGCATGGGGGACAGGATTTCCCAGTATGAGACATAATTGCAATATGCATTAGTGAGCTCTAGTTATTAGTGCTAAATCTGCTTGGATTAAGCTAAGTCTGTTACAAACACCACAGGCAGGAGCTCAAGCTGGGATAATATAAATGAATAGGATTTCAAAAAGTTACCAGTTGAGGTTTAAAGAGGCTTGCTGCAATACTGAAGGAAAAGCTCTTTCAGGTGGATCCAAGCTGGTGAAAGGTCTGGAGAACAAGTCCTGTGAGGAGAGGCTGAGGGAGCTGGGGGGGTTTAGTCTGGAGAAGAGGAGGCTGAGGGGAGACCTCATTGCCCTCTGCAGCTCCTGAAAGGAGGGTGTAGGGAGGTGGGAGTTGGGCTCTGCTCCCAAGTGAATAATGACAGGAGCAGAGGAAGTGGCCTCAAGTTGTGCCAGGGGAGGTTTAGATTGGATATTGGGAAGAATTTCTTTACTCAAAGAGTGGGTGGACACTGGAACAGGCTGCCCAGGGAGGTGGTGGAGTCACCATCCCTGGAGGTGTTTAAAAGAAATCTAGATGTAATGCTCAGGGAAATGATTTAAGCACTGAATGGGTAGAGTAGGTTATGGTAGGGGGGTTTAGGTTGTGGTTGGACTTGATGATCTTCAAGGTCTTTTCCAACCAGGATGATTCTGTGATGGGGAGCACAGAAAGGGAAAGCTGGACTGTGCCATGCATCTTTGTACAGCACTGCCCTGTGGTCCCTGCAGGAGCTGGAGAACCTGCAGTTACTAGGCTGGATCAGCTACAGGTGCCACCAGAGCTGTGCTGGAGGGGACAAAGTGGCTTTTGTGCCACCTGTCTGCTCACTGCTGAGGCATGGTGCTATGTTGGGTGCAAACTGCAGCCCAGGGATTATTCTCTCTGTGCTGTGACCCTCTGTGGAGCCCGGGTGCAGGGGACAGCCAAGGGACATGGCTGCCTGCTGTGCTGTGTCCCTGTCTTGCTGCTGGGGGGGCACAGGGCCAGCCCTTGTCCCCAGGGCACACACTGGAGGGTCCCCCTGTGGGCACTGCTCCCAGGGCTTGGGCTCCCATCCCTGCCCTGCCAGGGGGGCTGCAGGGCACTGCTGACCCTGCCACCCAGCTCTCCTCCTTTGCAGTGAAAACAGGTCAGCGTTGTGAGCATTTGTTGTTCTGCTGTTGCTGGAGGCAGTAACTGCTCTCTCCTGCTGGTGGGGGAAGGACTCTCTGTGACCTCCTCACTGTTCTTTTAAACATGGTCCCTTTTTAAGTACCACAGGATCTTTCTTAGACCTCATTTGTTTGCCTTTCTTTTTCCCTTAGCGTGATCACGTGTGGAGTCAGGAATTTTTCAAACCAGTTCTTTTGGAGATGACCTTATTTTCTGTCCTAAATCACAGAAGCATAGAACAGTTTGGGTTGGAAAAGACCCTTAAGGTCACCAAGTTACCCCAGCACTGCCAATTCATCCACTAAACCATGTCCCTGGGCACCACATCTACACGTTTTTTGTATTTATTGTTGCTTAGATCTCTCTTTGTGCATAAATTGGAGCTGTTATCTGGAGTGCCAGAAGGTAAATCAGCCCCTTCTTCACCCTCATCTATTTTTTTCATTTTTTTCTGTGTTTTGCACCATGGTGAACCTGCCTCTCCAGCCCCCAGGAGCAGCAGCCTGTTGGGAGGCAGCCTGAGGTTGGTTGGAAAGCATCTGGCCCTGTGGATTGTACCAGCTGGTGCTGTCAGAAGTGTGTCACAGACCCCTGTGTCCTGGGAAGCTCATCACTCTAATGCTGTGACTGTCCCCAACAATTGACATGTTGTCCATTTTTAGCCAGCTCCTCATTCCTAAGGGATTACACTGGTCTTTGCTCATCAGTGTCCCCTTTGTAGAGAGCCACACGCAAACAAATGTGTCCATTCACTTGGGTGACTTCTGAACTTTTATCCTGATGCCTGTTGAATGTATGAAAACTCCTCCCTTTTCCTCCTACATGTGCAGGCTGGAATCCTGTGAAATTGGGTTGTTCTTAAAGCAGGCTGGGCTGCTTTTGCTGTCTCCCCCTGCTTTCCCAGCATGCTGGAAGGGTTAGATGGTTGAGGAGACGACCTTGTAGCAGGGTATTGTTACACTGTGCTTAGCCTGTATTAGGGCACCCACCCTGGAAGTGTTCAAGGCCAGGGTGGATGGGGCTTTGAGCAACCTTTTCATGCAGTGGGGTCAGAACTAGATGACCTTAAATGGTCCCTTTCAAGCAAAACCACTCTGTGATTCTATGAAGTCTCATACTGTGTTAGTAACTTCCAAAACACATGGTCTTCCAAACATTGCTTCACAAGCACAGTCCTCAGAATTTCTTTTCTCTACCTATCTCAAATGTTCAGCTTTATTTCTGGTGATCTCATCAAGAGTCAGGCTTAGATTGTGCCCAGTGCTGTAGGTACACACCAAGGAGGAGCACAACAGCTCCTCCACTTCGCTTCAGCAACAAACAGGTTGGATTTTACCTTCTTTCCTACAAACCCTCAGAATGCCCTACTCACTAATAGTTAACACCTTCTTGGTTTCCCAGGCTGGGCAGTGATGACAACCAGTTTGAGACCAGCATGGCCAGCAGTGGGTGTGAGGTGCACTGCTTCGACCCCAGCATCAAGGTGGCCCATGTTCACCAGGGCCCCCACCTCTGGTACCATCGCCTCTCCATCGACTGGAGGGACCCCAACCCTGCCATCCCTGCTCACAAACTTCGCAGCAACACCAAGAAACTGGGCACAATACTGAAGGAATTTGGACATCAGAAGGTAAGGACTTGGTGGGGGAGGTCAGGTTGCTGATTGCAGGATTTAGAAGAAGGCTGGGGAGGGACTTTTGGCAAGGGCATATAGTAAAAGGACAAGGGGTAATGGCTTAAAACTGGAAGAGGGTGGCTTTAGGTGAGACATGAGGAAGAAGAGGGTGGTGAGAGCCTGGCCCAGGTTGCCCAGGGAAGCTGTGGCTGCCCCATCCCTGGCAGTGTTGAAGGGCAGGTTGGATGGGGCTTGGAGCAACCTGGGCTGGTGGGAGGTGTCCCTGCCCATGCAGGGGGTTGGAACTGGATGATCTTGAAGGTCCCTTCCCACCCAAACCATTCTGTGATTCCATGCAGAACTTCCTCCTTGCTGTCCTAGGACTTAAGGTGCTTTCCAAGATTATCTCCTGACAATGGGTTCTTCTTCAGCACTACTTGAAAGGCATTTCTTTTAGGGGTGCCTTTTCTGTCTTGAGTTTTCCATGTATTGATAACATCCACCTTGAGTTTAAATCACTACCCACATGCTAAATACTTCCCTCCTTCTCCCCTCCTTTCCCTTCAACCAGCTGGTGACATTGGGTGCTACTATTTTCAGTCCTGTAGAAATTCTGGTCTTTGCCTGAGTATGGACACTAAACTGTTCCTGCAGCCAAGTTTATGGAGAGAGAAAAAATATTTGCAGCAATAATTAGAAGAGAAGAGGTGAGGGATGAGTTGTTTACATTTTCAAGGTCACTGGTCCTAATTACAGCCATCTGCAACAGAAACATCCTGGTTTGAAATTGGCAGTGATCTGTGGGTTTTTTAATATTTCCCAGTTTGTTTTTAAGGAACTGTAAAGAAACCAGAAATCTTAGGTTGCTTTTATGAGAGTTTTTCCTCCAGAGGATATCCAAGCATGAATTCAAATGCTAATGTGATTCATGGCCTGCAGCTAGTGCTGCTTGTCTCTGTTTTTCAAGAATCCAGCAGCCTGAGCTAAGGAGCAGCTTTTCTGTGAGCTGTACAAAGCAGGCAGAGCAGTGTGTGTTTGGTTTGTTACTGCTAAGTGCACGATGTCCTTTTCAGTTCACTTCTTGCTTTTCCATAGTGTTTTCTTTTGGTTCAGCTCCACTGATTGGACCATTTTGAAGAGAAGGGCAGAAAAAAAGCAGCTTTTCCCTACTTCTTAGTCATACTATAACTGTACTGGGCTGAGCATGAGTGAGACATCTGAGCTGGCTTCCCTTTGACGTGTGCCTTGCGTTGGTTGTTTTGGTTTTGGAAGAATTAGTCACAGAGCAAATGATGAATGACCTGATCCAGATGATGTCTTTGAGTCTTGTGTTACAGCAGACCTGCTGAGAACAGTCAGTTCTGAGCTTTCGTGGCATTTGGAGGTGGTTGTAAGACCTGCTGTGATGGGGAAGGGTGTAGCTGTGAATGCTGAGTGTGTAACTTCCCAGGTGGAGGTTCCCTGAGATGAAAGCAGCCAGCTGGAGGGCAGCCAGGGGAGGGGATGCCCATGGGACACGGGCAGTCAGGCTTTCCTCCAGCTCTGCATGTGGCACAGGATTGGGTGAAGTGTGTTGTGAGCAGTGAACACAGCTTCTTACCAGTATAGGTTAGGGGCTGACCTGGGGGAAAGCAGCTCTGGGGGAAAACACCTGGGAGTCCTGGTGGACAACAGGCCGAGCCCTGGCAGCCATGTGCCCTGGCAGCCAAGAGGCCAACACCACCCTGGGGGGCATTGAGAAGCGCGCCCAGCAGGTCAGGGAGGTTCTCCTGCCCCTCTGCTCTGCCCTGGGGAGGCCTCCCCTGCAGCCCTGGGGGCAGGTCTGGGCTCCCCAGTTCCAGAAGGACAAGAACTACTGGAGAGAGCCCAGCACAGGGCACTGAGATGCTGAAGGAGCTGGAGCATCTGCCTGTGAGGAAAGGCTGGGAGAGCTGGGGCTGTTCAGCTGGAGAAAAGGAGGCTGAGGGGGGATCTGCTCAGTGCTGATCAATATCTGCAGGGGGTGTCAGGAGGATGGGCCAGACTGTGCTCAGGGGTGTCCAGGGACAGGACAAGGGGCAATGGGCACAAACTGGAGCCCAGGAGGTTGAAGCTGGAGATGAGGAAACCCTTCTTGACTGTGAGGGTCCCAGAGCCCTGGGCCAGGCTGCCCAGGGAGGCTGTGGAGTCTCCATCCCTGCAGACATTCCAGCCCCACCTGGCTGTGTTCCTGTGGGATCTGCTCTAGGGGATCCTGCTCTGGTAGGGGTTGGACTGGGTGATCTCCAGAGCTCCCTGCCAACCCCACCACTCTGGGATTCTGTGGTTCTTGCTCTGGTACCATCCTGGTAGGTCCTCTGTGCAAAACTACAGCATTGGTGAACTTGGGAGCTGACTTGCTCCTGGTGGGTATAAGGTGTTAGAAACTCTGTAATCTTCTGTTCCAGCTGATTTGTGAAGTACCTGGATGGGCTGGTTCTCCTCACCTTGGTCTGTGTAGCTTTTCTTTAGTTGGGAAGGCAGCCTGAGAAGTTGTAATTTGCATAAAGACACCGATCAGCTCTAATTTATGAAGAGAACATCAAAGTAAATGCTGTGACATTCAGGTTTTCATTTTTCCAGTGAATGTGAGTGAAATGTCCCCTTGAATGGATGAATAAGTTAATTCAAAACAGTTTCACAGAATATTTTCCAAAGCCCTTTTTTCAATTAGAAGGTTAGAACACACTCTTCATCCCATTCTTTTTAATATTAAGAATCTTTCTGCCTGCCCTCAAAATTGTTCTATTTCCACTTCAAGGCAGGAATTCCAGGCAGCTGCATGTGAAGTTAATGCCTTATTTTCTCCTGGCTTTAACTCTTTAACGTTTGGGACTTGATCCAAGACCCATCCAAGTGATTGAGAGTATTTCCACTGATGTCAAATGACTCTGGATGGGGCTGATGAAGGGAGGACAGAGAAGGCCCCTGAGGTTCTTGCTGTTGTAACCTTGAAAAGAAAACATTTGGGGGTTTTGTGTGCAAGGGAATCAAAGAGCTTGGATGGACTCTTTTACATTCTGGCTGAGATGGGAGCACACCTGCTGGTCTGCAGGGACCTTATCCACAGAGAGGGAAACCCACCATGATGTTGTGGCAAGAAACCCAAACAGGTTTTTGGTGTCCGAGAGGATCTGAGGAGAGATTAAAAGCACTTGATCTTTTTAATTGCCTGTGTGGCATAACAGTCCTCAGTCCTCTGGGGAGTGTCAATAGCCTGGAGGTAGAGGATTTATCTAGTACTATACTAGAATAACACTGACAAAGGAAACATGTAGTCAGAGTATTTTGGGGAATTGTTGGAGCATGAAATCTTTTAAGCCCTGGAATAATCTCCAAAGGGAGAGTCCTATTTCCTGCTACAGGAGCCTAAACTGAGAATTTACTGGTGTTACCTTCTGAGAAGAGCAGTATTTTATCAGCCACAGGAAAGGATAAAGATGTAAAAATTGATCTTGTTCACTTTATTATTTCCCTTCTAATTTTTTAGCTGAGCATGTATCCTCTGGAGCACACCACTGGTGAGCAGTGGAAGAAAGGGAGGAAGGCATTGAATACATGAGGTTTTATTTCATATTGCAAGGGAGTTTGTGAAAATTTTCATGTTATCTCACTAACTGCTGGGACACCTCCCACCAGCCCAGGCTGCTCCAAGCCCCATCCAACCTGCCCTTCAACACTGCCAGGGATGGGGCAGCCACAGCTTCCCTGGGCAACCTGGGCCAGGCTCTCACCACCCTCACACTCCACAATTCCCTCCTCATGTCTCACCTCAATCTCCCCTCCTCCAGTTTTCATCTATCCCCCCTTGTCCTCTCAGAGCTCATGCATGAGTAAATCATGTGTGTTCACACACACAGACTCTTACTTGGGCAGTAGTTGTGTTGGACAAATCTGTGATGCCACCAGGAAGTGCTGGGAATTTGCATTCCTTGGCAGTACAGCTCAGCAGTGGGTGAGTTGGTTTCTTGGAAAACAAATTAAGCTGGAAAGGAGAGTCTGAGAATGCCAAGTAAAACCTTCATTGAATCAGGAGGTGCTCAGAGGTGTAATTTTTAGGGGACAGCAGAGTTGTGTTCAGCTTCTGCCAGTGAAGTCATATTGAACAAATTGTGTAAGAGCCCAAACTGTGACATTGTTTATTATGAAAAGAAATGCAAAGGAATCTTAACAAGTCCCTATTTTGATTTGAAGGCTTGAATTTACACTGGCTCTCCATGAAGTTTTTTTCAGTAGCAGCCTGGCTACCAGATGTCTGCTTCTTTTTATTGAACAGGCTCAGATTTAGAGTTTCAAAAAGAAAAACTTCCTTCTTTCACCTGTTATTTAACACTCAACACAACTTCAAAACACTACACCCTGAAGCCATTTTGATGAATAACCTCATCCCCTCCTAGGCAGGCAATTTATCACTTGCTCCTCTCCTAAAGCAGGTAGCATAGAGTCTATTTTGTGCAGAACTTTCAGTTCTGTGAAGACTGATGTGAAAAAGCAAAGATTAAAGAAAACTGATTTACCATTTTGGTTCAAAATCAGCTCCTTCAGCAGCACACAAATATAAAATAAAACCCCTGGGAAAACTGTGTAACAAATTAGTTGTGAATGGAGTTTTGATTAACCAAACAAATAAATTAACTTGGGACTAAATTAACTCGGGAATAAATTAACTTGGGAAAACTCCATGTTCAAGTTTTGGAGCTACCAAATCCACACAATTACTCTTTACTTGCACACCTCAGGGCTGAGGGGCCAGAATAGACTTTTGAATTCTTGACCCTGCCTAGACAAAATAATCATAAAATCACAGACTGGTTTGGGTTGGAAGGAACCTTCACCTCAATCTCCCCTCCTCCAGTTTTCATCCATCCCCCCTTGTCCTCTCCCTCCCTGCCCTTGTCCCAAGCCCCTCCCCAGCTTTCCTGGAGCCCCTTCAGGCCCTGGAAGGTGCTCTAAGGTCTCCCTGGAGCCTTCTCTTCTCCAGGCTGAACACCCCAACT